AGATAAGAAGAGGCACAGGGTAAGTCTATAGAGCAGCGTGCAACCGCACAGACTCCGTGGGACATCAGAGAAGAGGACAGAGGAGTCAGCGCTGGATCGGAGACCCGCACCAGCGCTGGAGGGACATCTGAAAACTACAGGAAAGAAGATGATCGAATAAAGAGGCATCATTTAAGGTAAGTCCTTACACTAACATTGGGGGGAGGGGGGAAAATATCCTTTAGTGTCACTTTAAGTTCTAATAAGCTGAGATTGCATTAAAAAAAAAATCGAATAAGGGGCCGTTTGTTTGGCACAAGAAAAGGTCTGGGATCGTTGAAAGAATAGTCCCGACTCTTCATTAACCATCTAAAGCCCATTTCACCACCAAAAAGCAGAATAAAGCCGTGGACGTTGGAATCTGATTGGCAGTTGTGAGGAACTAGTGGCAATCATTAGTAGGAAAACGTCATTTACATCAGGGACATGAAGAACATTTGTGTGAGTGGGATGATCATTACCTGCAACCAGGTGTTTCTTGCATACCATTGTGATTCACATGACTCTAAACAGCTTTTGTCTAAGTTCCGTGATTGGCAATGGTGATGTGGTTATACTTGGATAACTGTAGGTGTAATTTCACTCTGTTTTTCCATCCCCTGTGAATTGGCTTTGATTGCGGTCTCATTTCATTTGTAGAAAATACAGTGCGTATTCTGATGATTGACAGTCTCTTATACTGGAATTTATCATATTTCTTATTTTATTTTTCTGTTCAACGTTTTATATCACACGGCAGTGAAGTGATGCTTCTGTGGGACTCAACTGTTTATCTTTTTATGAGTTGTGGGAGGGACTCCATGTCTTTAAGGCTGAGACCCCCTTTAGTGTGATTACGGTTGTTATATGGACAGTAGGGATGCACCGATACCGATACGCCCAAATGCTCCCATACCTTCCCCGATACCGGAACTTACGGTCAGAGGAAGATTTCGTACCGTAGGGGAACATGGAGCCAGCTTCCTGTGCGATCAGGAAGCTGGGCGGCGAATAATGACCTGCCTCCCGGCTTTCTGATTGTCCGGGAAGCCGGCTCGATGCTGATTGGCTGGGAGGCAGGTCATTACTCGCCGCCTGGCTTCCTGATTGGCCGGGAAGCTAGCTCAATCCTAATTGGCTGGGAAGCTAGTTTCCCGGCCAAACACAATCAAGCCGGCCAGACAACATGGAGCCTGCTTCTCAGGCAATTAGGTTGCCCAGGAAGCTGGCTCCATGCCAGCGGAAGCACTGGTATCGGTACTCGGTATCGACGAGTACCGAAAGCAAAGTATCGGTACTCGTACTCGATACCGAAAAAACTGTATCGGTGCATCCCTAATAGACAGTCTACTGTTCTTTTGGTTTGGTGCACAGAAATTACCAGACTTTAAACATCATATCAAACAAAATGTGTCCAGTCTTTACAATGATCCCTATATAATCACTTACCTGCTGATGGTCAAACTACAAATCCCATTAGGTATTGCAAGACTAAAGCATGACTCCTGATGGGTTTTTTAGTTTCACCACAGCTGGAGGAACAGAGTTTTCCTACCCTTGTGCTAGAACTTTGGTACTCTCATCCTTTTTACACTGTGAAGATGACTCCAGGAACATCCTGGGACCTACCTAAGAAATCGACCCATTTATATCTGATCATGTAGGTCTTGAGACTGCACAGTTGTTGGTAAATCAAAATGTTATCGTCCAATCAGATTCTAACATGTCACAAGTGTTCTCCTTTAAATGTCACTCAGATTTCTGTGTAACACATCACAATGCATAATCTGTAGAAGAGCTAAAGGTCCTTAAGAACTGTGTGCTTTCCCTCTAAGGCCTTGGTTCTCAACTGGTGGGTCGTGACCTAAAAGTGTTGTAATGACCCCTTGTTCACTGGGTAACCACATGCCTTCCACTTTTCTAGGTGAGAGGCTCCTCAGCCTCCCCCTAGTGCATCACTGTCAGTTCTCACGCTAAGCAGCCATTCAAAATATGCTGCCTGGCACTGAGTGTCAGCTTGATATGGGGTGGGATGGGGCTATGGCCGCCAGGGAGCTCAATCCATACGTGCATTGCTTACAGCTCCCTCACGTGTCCTGTAGAGGTGCCTGGACCACAGTGACATCACATGCTGGTTCCCGGCTACTCTACAGGCGTGCATGGGAGCTGTACAAGCAATGCATATATGGATGAAGCTCCATCACAGCACAGCAGCCCATACTGGACCCCAGACTGAGGATCCACTACAGTTCTTATGAGGTAGGGAGAGTGGGTGGACCATAAGAAAAATAAAAACATTTTTGGAGTGTGTATGTGTCAGGGATACCGGCACAGGTTACCCCACACCTCCGCAGGTACCCACACAGGCAGACCAAACACGTGTGACCACACGGACAAGGCAAGTATGTTACACGGACCAGGCAAGGATGTTAGATATGTATAGTTTGTTTAATATACACCTTATACTAATAGCAACAACCAACAACAAGGCTCAGGACAGCAAACAAAAGACACATGAAACAGGACTTCAAACATGGTTCAGGACTCACAGGTAACAAGGTTCAAAACAGGATTCAGGACTTACAGGTGACAAGGTTCAAAACAGGATTCAGGACTCACAGGTAACTAGGTTCAAAACAGGATTCAGGGTTCAGGACAAACAGGAAACAACACTGAGCCATTGTCCTGACTGCAGGGAGGGTTTAAATACCCTCCCAGGAAGCACCAGGTGATGGCTAAGTGCTGGGAGACACCCGCAGGTGAGCACTGGAACTGCAGGGCTAGCTCCAGCGCCACCTGGAGGCGCTCTTGATCCTAACAGTATGTGTGTGTGAGAATGTCTGCGAGTGTGTGAGATTGTGTCTGTTGGGTGTATCTACAGTAAGTCAGTGTTTTTGAGGGCCCGTTCACACTAGTACAGTGCGTTAATCGCATAGTACTGTGCAATGAACACACTGTACAATGCAATCGCATCTACCACACTTTCTGGTGTGTCTGAGGTGTGTTGCGTTGCCATTCTTTTGAATGGTACCCAAACGCAACTCCCACCCACAGTTCGCACTCCCGCACCAGAATGCGCGGTACCCTAATTCTGTGTTTTCCAGTGCAGTGCGACTTGTGTCAGAACTTAATGACCAAGGACAAATATGGGTCCTGAGGTTACACAGGTTGAGAAACAATGCACTAAGGGGAGCAGAGAACAGCTCTTCCTCCTTGATAACGACCCACTATATCGTAGAAAGAAAGAGGTGTTCGCTGCTATTCCAGCTTTGCAACTGTCTGGGTCCTTACAGCCCGACTTTATACATCAAGTGAAAGGGGATTTGCATTATTTGACCTTGTTCTAAGGTCTGTATACACTGAGTGGACAGATGATTATGACCACCTGACGTTTGTAGGCAAATTAGCTATAATTTTGCGCTGAAGTTGCTAGAGGGCCAGACCATTATAAATAGGGAAGCAGGTTGTTTACCACGACAGTAGAAGTGTTTTTTTCTGAAGATACGGGGAAACAACGCGATTTAACAGCCTTTGAACGTGGGGTGATTGTTGGTGCTCGGAGCCATGGAGTGAGTATCAGCAAAACAGCAGAATTCATTAAATGTTCAAGAGCAGCTGTTGTTAAAGTGTTTAAAGACTGGACTGTCAGCCGAAAATCTGGGTCTGAACGTGCGAATTGTGGCCGTCAGCGACTAGTCAATGTTAGGGCAGAACGGAGAGTGGCAAGACTGGTACAAGACAACAGAAGGGCAACAGTGCAGTGTCAGATTCCCATCACCTTTCAACATCTTGTGGAGTCACGAGGCGGCCCAACAAAGTCATCTTGTGGAGTCATCCCGTGGCCCAACGAAGTACTGATGGGGTGGTCATAATAATCTGGCCACTCAGTGTATAAGGTGAGCAGCACTCCTGTGGGTGATTGGTGATCGGGAACTGCTGGAGATAACATTAACTTTTTACATTGAAGCTGTACATGCACCGTTGAACTACTCATTTTGGGACACTAAAATATCACAAATTTTTCTGCATGAATAAATGAAATGCACTATATTGAGTAAGATACTGTGCATTGATGTGGATATTAGTGAATCATAATTGGATCACATTTACATTTATATAACACACATGAATTAGAAATTCATTTTCTGACACATGGTACAGAGAGATATAGTGCGGCACATTTTTAACATATTTTTTTGAGTTATTCCTTCATTTGTCGGATCACTGCACGCTGCTTAGGTCACTTGCTTCTGGCGCAAAGTTTTTTTACAATTTTTATAAGATATATAAAATCCTGGCCTCAATGATGGTTGCCCAAATCTCCATAGCACTGATTAGACACAGGCTCCCCCAAGATGGCACCTGGAGCTCATGGCAGAGGACAAATTGGTCCAGTGCAAGGCTCCTTCTAGTGCCAGTAGTAAACCGGGGTCATGGGACAGCTTTATACACTACAGCTAGCCAGACAGGGAAGAGCTTTGCCTTTTTCACTGCTTGATTTCCGTTACATTATCTTTAATGCAATAATTTAGAGATTGGGTGAAATGGTGAAATGTTTAGAGTAGTATTACATGTTTGGTTTAAATAGTGCATTTTTTTTGTAGAGGTCTTTACATCAAACCAACAAGACAGACAACTGAGAAGGACAGAGCCATTTGTTTCCGAAAGAGGGGCAGTTCCTACAACTGAAGGACAATTGGGATCTATGTTAGAGGAGGATTATGCAGCAAAGTGCAGGGCAATGCTGCAGGCTGGAAAAAGAGATTATTTCTAGCCTTCCAACCATCAGTGAGCTTGGGTGCAGTTATCCTTTAACTGGCTCTGCACTAGCAGCCAGTCATTCTTTCAGAGGATCATCTAAACCATTGGCAATGTTTTCAGAAATAGGGCAGTAATATTTCTATTGAACACTTTGTTCCGTTTTGGACACAGTAGGGGAAATCTGAAACTTTCACAATTTTCCCTTGCTGTCTATGTGTTAGGGCCCCACCCTCTGCCAGGTGACACGGGCTCACCTGAGGCATGGATTCTAAGCACCAGCCAGTTTTCACCAGAGCTCCTTATGATGGAAATGGATTTTACCTGTTGCTGGTACCAGGTCCCAGTCATCAGGATTGTCCCGCCAGGGGATGAACGGGTGAGGATAAGAGGGCTACAATGTGGAGACAGTAGACCAGAGTATAGTCAGGATCAGGCAGGGTTACAGACAGGTGATAAGCAGAGAGTAGTCAGACAGACCAAGTTGGAAACCACTAAACAAGACAGGAGCCAAGAATGTAGTTTCGTCCAGGCAAGGGGCAAGGAATGGAGAGAGTGGTCAAGCGTTCTGGGTCATCAACAACCGGTAGGCAAGTCAGGAGACTAGATCATAGTCAGGTCCAGGCAGGGGTCAAGGCAAGCGATAAGCAGACAGTGGTCAGGCAGTCCTAACCGGCAACCAGTAAACAAGACAGGGTACAAAAGCGTAGTCGGGTCCAGGCAGGCGGCAAGCAGAGAATGGTCAGGAAGTCCAGGTTGGCAACAAGCAGTTGGTAAGCAAGACAGGAGACAATAGCATAGTCGTGTCCAGGTAGGGGTCAAGGCATGCGAAAAGCATAGAGTGGTCAGGCAGACCAAGTCGGCAACCATTAAACGAGAGGAGACAAAAGCATAGCTGGGTCCAGGTAGGGGTCGAGGCAGGCGGCAGGTAGAGAATGGTCAGGACGTCCGGGTCGGCAACAAACAGTCAGTAGACAAGGTAGGAGACAAGAGCAGAGAGTGGTCAGGTGGTCCAGGTCAGCAAAACAGGAACAAACTTCAGTATTATAGCTCTTCACACAAACAGGATAGCTAGTTTGAAGACACAGCACCAGCCAGTAGACATGAAAGCTGGCAAAAAATGTGTTTAGTTTCGGATTTTTTTCGTTATTTTGTTTTCGGGATTCAGGTCTGCAAGTCAGTTCGTTTTAGTATTCAGGTTTGTCGGAATCCAACATTTTCAGTAATTTCGGATGAGTTAAATGATTTTTATTAATAAAAATGTATTGCAGAAAAGTGACAAAAGTGACCAATTCATACCCCTTAGGTCTGGTTGGAATTTTAGGTGGGACCCCAATGCCCCCTAAAATCCCTTACCAGACCCTTGATCTGAGCAGCAGCCTGGCAGAGCAGGAAAGGGGGGGGAGAGTGCACCCCCTCCTCCTGCACAATACCAAGCCAGATGCCCTCAATATGGGGAGGGTGCTTTTTGTCCCCATGTCGATGAAGGGGCATCCAGATGCAGATAAGCTCCCCTTCCAATGGTCCAGGGTTGTGGCGAAGCGGATCTAGTCCTCATTGAAATGGGTTCCCCCAGGCAAATCACCCTCATAATGTTCAGGGCATACACCCCATTAACACCCATCATACCATAACAATAAACCTAAATAATAAACAAAGGTTGGATTTTTTGGGTTTAATTCAGCTTTGACCATGGTATAGACCTTAACCTTTATCACCAAACAGAACCACTGTTGACCGTGAGCACACCATGGTTAATCTTCAAGACCAAAGCAGCAATACCTTACTCCAACCAAATTACCGTTTACCAACCACTGTCCACCCACAAAGTGGGCGACATGGCCTCATGAAGACTGATATAGGGTGGGGGAGCAGGTCCAAAGGTCCAAAAGGAAGGCTGAAGATAATCCAGAGGTGAGTACAACTGTCCGCCCTGATGTAACTGTTGACACTGCCCAGTGACAGGAGTGACTTTAGATGTTAAAGGTTGCACTTATCAGCCAGTTTTTTTCCCCTGGCGAAAGATCTATCACCATGACTGAAGATCCGGCCAGCAACCGAGGTAAATCTTTCTTTCAGAAGCAGGAGGCTTGTAACTTTAAAAAACCCCCCAGCAAAGCAGCACCAAAGAAACATGTACTTCAAAGTCAGCACAGCCCTTTAGAATATAATTCATCTTAAAAACACATGCGTGACAGGGTGTGACAATCCCATGGAGCCACTTTCCTATTTTTTTCTTTCGTGGTCCTAATATCCTGCATGGTGACACCCAGTGTCCCACAAGTGTCAGGTATACACCCCTAGTCTACAGAGGGTGTCAGTCACTATGAGGTGCACACAACTTCCATGGAGACCGTTTCATCTGGATAAGAAAGTGTCACTCCCCCATGCACACTGAAGGCATACTTCTTCCTGAATGCTGTTGTGTTGCTCTGTGTGTTTGAATGCAGCACTGTTTCTCAGGGAGTATTAGATCATAATATGTGCCCTGTTCTCCACTTTTCGTGAGACTCCAGCAGTATACAAGGGGAGCTCAGACTCATGTAGTGCGCTGTGCAATGTGGTCTGGACTGCAAACACACGTAACACAGTGTATCTGGTTTGTGGTTTTGTAGTGCTCTCTTCTAGGCAAAGTTGTTTGTATTTACGTAGATGTCTGCAAAATGTCAATCACTGCAGCAGTGGGCGTCAACGCAGCGATGTGCTGCAGTAACGCCCCAGAGCAGAGCCCAACTGTTTTTTTTTTTTTAAAGTTTAAAAGTCTTTGTTTTAATAAGGGCAATAAAGGGAGAGAACCCATGTCCAGTTTTTAGTGCCGTCCGTGTCACCTCCATGGAGATTTACCCACTTGTCTTAGTGACCATTGCCACTGGGACTGTATCACGTACCTGAGGCTGAGACTGGAAGATGGGGAGGCGCCTCTTACGGTTCGCGTCCTGCGACCCCTGGAGTTTGGAACAGAAGGGCGCAGGGCAACGAGGAGCACGAGTGCCGAAGACTGGAAACGAACACTGAGAAGAGAAGAGAGGTCAGGAAGCCAAGGTCAAATCCGGTCGGGCAGGCAAGGTACAAAAACGTAAGGCAATCTCAAGGTCCAGGAAACAGGCCGGGGTCAAGGGCTGGCAGCAAGCAAGAGAGTAGTCCAGGGCAATCCGAGTCAGAGGCAGGCTTTAAACAATACAGGAACACAGGATACAACACAGCAAGCTGACAAGACCATCAGCAATGAAAGAGAGGCTGACTCCTCCTTAAATAGTCCCAGGATACTGACAGCTACCTCACTTCCTGTGTGGTTTCCCGCACATTTTGCCGCCATTCCCGCGCATGCGCAGTTTGCCGCGATTTCTCGCGCATGCGCCGTTTGCCGCGATTTCTCGCGCATGCGCAGTTTGCCGCGATTTCATGCGGTTAACAACCGTGCCTTTACAGACTGAATGTTGGAGGAAATCCTAGATTTTGAGTTGCCACCAGAACAGAAGTAGAGGGGAAATCTTTGAACGAGACGCCTGTCCCAGGGGCGGCTGTCTAAGAGTGGTTTTTACTGACTTTCAAGAGATTTCTTCTTACTTCCTGTTGCAACTACAAAACAGGAATTGTCTCAATTTGGACACATATGGCTGATGGAGGAATCTCCAGTGCCGGCTATTGTATTCAGGCAACCAAAGCACCCAAACAGTGACTGCATCTGGTAGGTTTGGTATTAGATATACTTAAAATGAGTTGGTCAGTAGAAGATTGGTGATCCAGAGAAAACTTTCACTCGACAAAAATTTTCTTTACCTGGACCTGACCCTCAGTTGTAAGGAAGTAGTTTTTGTATGGATTTTCTTGCAACCTCCGGTGCAGGTACTTCCATAGCTCCCAAGCAAAAAAAAAAAAAAGTGCTTGTACCTGATGTTACATAGTAACATAGTAACATAGTAGGTAAGGTTGAATAAAGACAAGGGACCATCCAGTACAACCTATATGTCTATGTGATTGTGCGTCTGTATTTGTCTTGCTTGTTATATACATTTACTGGTGATTTTATCCTGTTCTGTTCTAATACGACAGATAATAAGCCCATGCAGTGACACCTAAGACTAAGGGATTATGATTCCGCTACCCCGTCTGTACACCGTGCTGTGGATGCCGCATGTATTTGCACAGTAAGTATACCATACTGCTCTGACATTTGCTCAGCACAGAGCTTCACTAATTAAATGAATTATAATAAAAAAAATTGGGAAAAAAAAACACCCATATGACACGAAAGTACAGCAAAACCCCGGAGTGCCCCCCACACTACAAATATGCCATCACGATCTTGCCAGGATTTTAGGCTCGTACAGTACGTGGGTGTACAGGAAATACATATCACTTGTCTCCGTGTCAATGAATCTGTCAGTTTTAAGCAACTATGATAGGAACACAAAGACACCCAGACCCAGATTGTTAATTAAAAGCCGTTCAACGTCTCCATCAAAAGTCCTTTCATTTAAAGATGCCAGATAACTGAATGACAACTTGGTAGGAATGCAATGATTATATTACTGTCATCAGACTGCATCGCATCTTCATTCAGCTTTGCCTTTGTTATTATTGTTACGTGTACCTTGAAGGATGTTCTGGGGAACTTTTTTCTACTATATTTCAATTGCAATAATAAACTTGATTTTTCTATTATCCCTCTAGTGGATGGAATATTTTTTTTTTAAAGCAAACTTAAAGGAGAACTATGAGGTGAGTGTTTTTCACTCACCTCATAGTTCTAGCCGACCTGTGACAATTAGACTGTCACAGGTCGGCTTAGTAGATCGGGAGGTGAGCGAACACATACCGGCGTTCGCTCACCTCTCGATCCTGTCACGGCTCTCTGCCACGACATGGAAGGGGCTGGATTTCCCCCTCCCCGCTCCAATCCGCCAGCACTGACTGGCGGAATGGACGGGGGAGGGGGCGGGTACAGCTGGCTCTGCCTCTAGATAGGCAGAGCCAGCTGTCAGTCACGCAGCTGGGCGGATCCAGACATAATAGTCGGGATCCGCTTCAGCTGCGGCGTCTCAGTATACTGAGCCTAGGGTGACGGGAGGACGCTAGTTTGTGTCCTCCCGTTACCCTAAGGAGAACTATGGGGAAAAGCCTTAACACCATAGTTCGCCTTTAAAGACTTTTTTACATGAATTGCTTCAGGACCGACTAAGGTAAATAAACGGCGGCATCCTGAAGCAGTTATAGCAAGATCACGACTGCTGCTGCTTCTTGGTACCGTATTAAACAGCCGGCGATGGCTGTTGACATTCAGGCAATCCAGTGGCTATACAGCCGCCCGATTGCTTGTATGGTGCTGTGGAGTGTTAATCCCCCTACTGCCAGCTACCCTGGGCTCCTGTCAGGGTGCATCAGTCAGCAACCATTGTGCAGCTTCTGCCCGGATTGCTGCGCGAAAACGTACACACACAACAAAGTGCACACGCAAGTAAGGTGCACACGCATATCCTTGGTGCCAGGCAGGCTATTTAAAGATGCTTCTTCATTTTTCTGCCTCCTGATCTGGTACCATTCTGCTCGCAAGTGTATGACCCGGCCTGTTCCTGACTCCTGTCACCTGCTTATGTACCACGCTGACTGCACGTTACCGATCTGGCTTGTTCCTGAGTGACTACGCTTCAGCTTCTCACACAAGTGTCGTCTGATCTGCCATCATCCACCAGCTGTCTCTGGCGTCCTGTTGTCAGCATCAGCGTATCCAGTGTGTCCAACAGTCATACCATCCACAGGCACTCGTGCCCCTCTCTGTCTGTACAACTACTGTTCCATCTCCAGTGGTGCTCAGACGAAAGCTGCAAGGGAAGACCTTCCTCGTCACTTCAGGCTCATACCAAGGTACGTTACAGCTCCACTGTTCCCCGTGCAGGCCCTAGACCGGCATGACGGGTCTGTCCTCTTCGATCAAAGGGAGATCAGCACACTCCCAGCTGCTGATCTCCTCTTCAAACATTAGACCCAGAAGTGACGTGTATTTCATCACTACTGGTGCCATGCTATCATTTCTCCTTCTCCTGTAGCTGGAGAAGAAGCAGGTGAAGCAGTGTGCTGCTTTATCAGCTTTTATCAGCTTCTTTGGGGTCCCTAGGTGTCATTAGGGGTCTAATAGACCCCTGATGTTTCCATAAAGAGGACCTGTCACATCCTCTTTGCTATTGCATAGGGGGTTTCTTATCCTCCTATGTGATAGCAATAAATTTAAGTGTAAAAAAAACATTTTTTTTAAAATGTATTTAAAGTCCCCTGCCCCCCACATGCCCATACAAAAGCAAAAACGGGTCGGGTGCGCCTATGTACGAAAACAACGATTGCACCGCATATGTTACATATCACCGTAAATGTCAGAATGAGAGCAAAGATTTTCCAATAGTTTTCAGGAGTCCCTCCAGCGCTGGTGCCGGTCTCTGGTGCAAAGCTAACTGCTGTGTCTTCTGTGTTCCATGGAGTCTGTGCGGGTGCACGCTGCCAGACTGCTTGCATTGACTCACCCTGCGTCTCTCCTCTTCTCCCGTCCGAAGATCTCTACTGCGCATGCGCCCGCCCCATCATATTTCACAGCCGGCCGAGGATCTACAGACCTTCAGACGGGAGCAAGCGGCGGAGACACAGGTACGTTTTGACCTATTAGTAACTTTTTAATTTTTGTTATGTTTTTGCATCTATCTACTGCTTGCTAGCTGCAGATATATGCAAAACAACGTAAGGGTTTAATTATACTTTAATACTAACATGATGGGCGGTAAAAGCTTTTAATGCGTCGCCTATGGGAAGTTTTGGGTATTGTAGTTTCTTGCGATTTCACGGGCGCACAAAATTTTAAGGCTTGACATGTTTGGTGTCTATTTACCCGACGTGACCCCATCTTTTATATTTTACCACAAAAATTGGGTATTATATTCTGTGTCTGTGCACTAAATTTAATTTTAGTGTATTTTATTCTAAAAATACTGGTTTGATAAACATTTGCTCAAATACCTTGTGACATAAAAAATTGCAACTAGTATTTTTTTATTCTATAGGGTCTCTGCTTTTAGAAAATATAGAAGTGTTTGGGGATTTTAAGCTGTTTTCTAGCCAAAAATTCAGATTTTATCATGTGTGCAAATAGTAAGAAAGTCAGCCCTGACAGAAAGTAGTTAAACGTTACATTATAACATAGATTTTCATGTCTCTTCTGTAACAATGTAACTAAATGGTGTATCTATTAGCAAATTGCAGAGCCATTCACCCTATGAAATTGCATGTACATTTGTGTACATTTGTGTACACTGTGTACATTCTGTGCAAATGGAGGCAAAAACTAATTTTATTGCATTTTTTTCTTTACAGGTCGAATGTAATAGGTTGAGCTGAGGAGCATAGGTTGAGCTAGGGCTAGGTTGAGCTGAGGAGCATAGGAAATAAATATGTATTATGGCCACTAGATGGCGCTGAGGAGCACAGGAAATATGCTTTCCTTAGTAGAGTAGTGAAAGGTTAGAACCTCTGCTAGAGTTTCTGTGTCCCTGTTGCAGATGTACCCTCATTTCTTGTCTGGTGAAGCCATTGTCAGCGGGACAGGAAGTAGGAGTAAATTGTGTCAGCCCCGACAGGTCCCAGCGACCCGTATCAGCCCTGACAGGTCCCAATGACCCGTGTCAGCCCCAACAGGTCCCAATAACCTGTGTCTGCCCCAACAGATCCCACTGACCCATGTCAGCCCCAACAGGTTTCAATGACCCGTGTCAGCCCGCGACAGTCCTAATGACCCGTGTCAGCCTGGACAGGTCCCAGTGATTCATGCCAGCCCCGACAGGTCCCAATGACCGGTGTCAGCCCCGACAGGTCCCAATGACCCGTGTCAGCCCCGACAGGTCTCAATGACCCATGTCAGCCCCGACAGGTCCCATTGACCCGTGTCAGCCCCAACAGGTCCCAATAACCCGTGTCTGCCCCAACAGATCCCAGTGACCCATGTCAGCCCCGACAGGCTTCAATGACCCGTGTCAGCCCGCGACAGGTCACAATGACTTGTGTCAGCCCTGACAGATCCCAATGACTCATGTCAGCCCAGACAGGTCCCAATGACCCCCTGTGTCAGCCCCGGACAGGTCCCAATGACCCGTATCAGCCCTGACAGATCCCAATGACCCATGTCAGCCCTGACAGATCCCAATGACCCATGTCAGCCCCGACAGATCCCAATGACCCATGTCAGCCCCGACAGGTCTCAATGACCCATGTCAGCCCCGACAGGTCCCAATAACCCGTGTCAGCCCCGACCGGTCTCAATGACCCATGTCAGCCCCGACAGGTCCCATTGACCCGTGTCAGCCCCAACAGGTCCCAATAACCCGTGTCTGCCCCAACAGATCCCAGTGACCCATGTCAGCCCCGACAGGCTTCAATGACCCGTGTCAGCCCGCGACAGGTCACAATGACTTGTGTCAGCCCTGACAGATCCCAATGACTCATGTCAGCCCAGACAGGTCCCAATGACCCCCTGTGTCAGCCCCGGACAGGTCCCAATGACCCGTATCAGCCCTGACAGATCCCAATGACCCATGTCAGCCCTGACAGATCCCAATGACCCATGTCAGCCCCGACAGATCCCAATGACCCATGTCAGCCCCGACAGGTCTCAATGACCCATGTCAGCCCCGACAGGTCCCAATAACCCGTGTCAGCCCCGACCGGTCTCAATGACCCATGTCAGCCCCGACAGGTCCCATTGACCCGTGTCAGCCCCAACAGGTCCCAATAACCCGTGTCAGCCCCGACCGGTCTCAATGACCCATGTCAGCCCCGACAGGTCCCAATGACCCGTGTCAGCCCCGACAGGTCCCAATGACCCGTGTCAGCCCCGACAGGTCCCAATGACCCGTGTCAGCCCCGACAGGTCCCAATGACCCGTGTCAGCCCCGACAGGTCCCAATGACCCGTGTCAGCCCCGACAGGTCCCATTGACCCGTGTCAGCCCCAACAGGTCCCAATAACCCGTGTCAGCCCCGACCGGTCTCAATGACCCATGTCAGCCCCGACAGGTCTCAATGACCCATGTCAGCCCCGACAGGTCCCAATGACCCGTGTCAGCTATGACCAGTGCCAGTGATCCATGTGAGCCCCGATAGGTCCCATGTACAATAATATCCCACTGACGGGGTGTCAAGTCAGTCTACACAAACCGTAACACATTATGATCACACAACATGGATAATTCATGGCTGACAATCTATCACTGTGTCTGAAATACAATCTGAAAGAGGAAATTCATATCGCGTCTTCTGTTGTCTCCAGATGGCTCTTTTACTGTCAGAGCTGCACAAGATAATGATTATAACTTCCCATAGGAGAGTGAGTTAAAGCGCATCGAAAACCCAAAAACAAAAAAGGAATATATTTTAGCTTACCTTATCTTATATCTGGTGCCTGCATTAGTTGTCTATTCCTGCTTTTTTTTTAATGTGTTTTCACCTGGTGATCCTGCCAGTGACGCACTTCCTGTCCTAGGGTGACAACACTCACTGACTATACTGTATCTATAGAAGAATCCATGGTTGTCATCCTACGACTAAAAAGACATGGCATTGTTCTGTGGTTCTCGGAGATAGCTAGGAACAATGTAACTGATAAAAATGTGGCACAGAAGGAGAGAACAGAAAATAACCAGTTCACAAGATTTCTGGCAGGATCAACACATATGTTTTTCATTTATTGAACAGACATAACAAAACCCTTTCAATTGTATAATTAACAGACCAAAAGGGAGCAAATAGAAGACATTCATTGTAAGAGTTTAGCATACCCAACTTTCCGAGATGAGAAAGAGGGACAACTCTTAGCAACTTTTAGCACAAGGTACTGTATGTAGGCAAGGAACCCTGCCATGCCCCCAATTATGGTGTGCCCAAACAACTAATATGAATAAAACGATTGCTTAAACCCACATGTGCTTTTGTCCCCAAAACCTTTCCTTTTTACTGAGGTTTTAAAATAAGAACATTTGAAAAATGCAATCATTTAGAGATTGGATGAAATTCTTAGGGGTCTATTTTAAACAATTTTCAGGGCCCTACATCCTGTGAATCTCTGTGAACACTAATTTTGGGCAAATAATGCCAAAAACAAATGTTCTCAATATATTTGCTTCTTAGGTTGAATGTATTGTGATGTAATACAGAGTTATGGCCACTAGATGGGGCTGAGAGGCATAGGAAAAAAGTATTTACTACCTATGCTCCTCAGCTCCATCTAGTGACCATAAGGTTATAATACAACACACTACATTCCAACTGAGAAAAAAATATATTTGCTACATTCATGTTTGGGATTATTCATCCAAAGTGAATGTTTAAAGATATTTGCAGGGCAAAGGGCCCTCTGAATTATTTATAAATAGACGCCTTAGTGTAGTGTAGCATTTTAGGTAGTTATTATTATTATTATTATTAATAGGGATGCACCGATACCGGTATTTCGGTATCAAGTACGAGTACCGATATTTTTTTTCGGTACTCACCGATACCGAATACCAATACCAGAAGTCCCATTAAGGAATGTAATGACTTGCCACCCGACTTCCTGATTAGCTGGGAAGCCGTCCCCATGCTTCTCGTCACTATGTGACGAGTAAGCATGGAGCCGGCTTTCTGGCCAATCAGGAAGCCGGGCGCCGTGTAATGGCGCGG